AGAAGGCCAGAGGAGAACTCCCCACCTCGATCAGAGTGCAGACGCAGAACAGGAAAGTCCGAGCCGAAGCTCCTCCTGAGCTGGAGACGAGCTGCGCGGATCAAGTCGATCAGCACCTCAGTGACATCACCCTTGCTGCGCAAGGGGAAGACTGTGGTGTAACGCGAGTAGTCCTCAACCACCAGCAGGAAGTAGCGCTCGAGACCCTGCCCACGGACGCGGGCCGGGCCCCACACGTCCATGTGAAGTGTCTGCAGAGGAGCCTCTGTCGGGGGAAACTCGGAGGAGTGAGGAGCAGCCCGGAGGCGCCCCTCGACACAGGGGACACAGGAAGGTCCTGGTCCCGAAGGAAGGGGAGGGAGAGACCGGGGGAGACCAGAGACAAGGACACTGGAAGCCATGCCCCAAAGACGAGGCAAGGAGGGGTGGCCAAGACGGTGGTGCCACAGGAGAGTCTCGTGAGACAGGAGGCGACACGAACAGGGGGCAGACTCAGGACCAGACCGGGACGCAGCAGCAAACACCTGAACCGACGCAGCTACCTGGCCAGACGCAGGGACAGGAGGAGACTCAGTGGTCAGGGTGTAGAGGCTCGACCCTGGCCGGCGCGAGAACGTGGCCAGGTGCCGGCCTGTGCGTGCGTCCGTGCAGTGGGTCACCCGCTGACTCGCAGGAGTAAACTGGTGAACCCCCGCATCCTGCGGGTCAGCACCACTCACCAAGTTTGTCGAGAACGAGGGGAGGTACAGACCAGACAGGGTGCCCGAGGGGGCAGCCAGACACGGGAGGACAGTGGAGAAGTGAGAGAGGACAGGACCCCCAGAGGGGTCAGCCAGGGAGACTGCAACCGGCCGACCAAGCGGCGTGAGTGTGGTGCGGTCTCGAAAGAAGGAGCGAGAAGCCCCTGAGTCAAGTGTGAAAGTGAGGGAGGCCGAAGCCGACGCAGTACCTGGGAGCGCAGCCTCACCAGTACCTGAGAGCGCAGACGCACTAGCACCTAGAGCAGCAGCCTCACAAGCACCTAGCGCAGCAGTACCAATGCCCGGGTCGGGCGGGAAACACCGGTAACAGTCACCCTCCTCACTAATAGTCACAGCATACATGGCAGCAAGGATAGCATCAAAGTCAAGATCAAAGATAGCTACACCAGCCCTAGACAGCTCTCCCCAGCGGGGAATCTCACTAGCCTCGGGGAACTGCTGACGCCAAGCGTCCGTCAGGCGGCCAAAGCAGCGCTGGGTGGGGTGGGCACCCCCACACTGCTCACCCGCGCGGTCGCCGGAACGAAGGACGTAGGCGCACGGACCAGTGCCCCCACCCCTCTGACGCTGCGTGTACCACTCACGGAGCTGCTGGGGCGGGGGGATGTCCCGCGAACGCTGCTGCTGCTGCTGCTGCTGCTGGCGCTGACCACTACCAGAGCCGCTCCGCTGCGGGGCACCACCCTGACCAGCTCCACCCCCTCCGCCACCGCCGCCTCCACCTCCGCCACCACCGCCGCCTCCACTCCCACCGCTGCCGCCGCCACCGCCGCCTCCTCCGCCGCTGCCACCACCGCCTCCGCCTCCGCCACTGCTCCCACCGCCACCCCCACTCCCTCCGCCGCCTCCACCGCCACCTCCACAGCCCCCTCCAGCTCCACCCGCGCCCTTGCCCCCCTTGCCCTTGCCAGGGCGGCGTCTCCCGCTAGGGGCAGACGCCGCGCCGACCGACTGAAGACCAAGCAGGTCGGCAGCTGCAGCAGAGGCAACAGAGGGCAGTAGGGGGGAAGGAGAACACCCCTCAAAGATGGGGGTGCGAGGGTCACCACGAGAGGCTCCGACAGCGACGATGCTCTTCTCCGCCGCTAGGAGGGCCTTCTCGAGGAGGTCGACAGTGAGAGTGGTGGGACAGACTGAGAGGAAGTGGTCCCTGACTACGCGAAGAGAGTCAGGGAGGCGTGTGACTATGTAGTAGAGAGTGATGTACATGGGGGGGGGGTTCTTGGCGCAGAACTCAATAGGAAGGGCGGCGCGGTAGCGAGTGTCACTAGTGCGGAGGTGCGTAATGAGGTCAGCGACAGTGGGAAAGGCAGTGAGATCAGGAAAGAGGTACGGTAGCATGAGACGGCTTAGTGCAGCAGTGGCAGGGGAAGAGTAGCGCGCAACTACAGCGTCGTACAAGGTCTGAGCACTCTTGTACTGACTAAAGTGCGCGCGCTCAGTGGTGGGCAAGTGGCGACGCACAGCAAGACGTGCAGCAGCATCGCGGGTGGCCCACTGAGAGCGAACAGTGGGGTCAGCATCGGCAGCAGGGGCAGGAGAGGCGCCAGAGGTGAGGTCAAAGAGGGAAAGGCCGTCCGCCCTATCGCACTGTAAGAACAGCTGCAGGTCGTCGACCCAGACCTCAAAGTCAATGGCTCGACCCTCAGCGTCAAAAGCGAGGACACTAGGGGTAGCCATGACGACGACAGTGGAGCAGTGCAAGCAGTAGGGGAAGGGCACGCAGTGACAGCGGTACGGTGCTCACCGGGCAGGGCAGGTCGGGCGGCTCGGCAGGAGGGCGGCTTGGCGACTCGGCTGCTCGGCTGCTGGGCGGCTCGGCTCCCGGGCGGCTCGGCGGCAGGGCGGCTCGGGTGCCGGGCGGCTCGGGTGCAGGGCGGCTCGGGGGCGGGGCGGCTCGGCTGCCGGGCGGCTCGGGTGCAGGGCGGCTCGGGGGCGGGGCGGCTCGGTTGCACTGCGGCTCGGTGGTCCGGCGGTGCGGCGGCTGCTGCTGGGCGACTCGGCTACTCCGGTACCGGGCGGCGTGGCGGTCGGCTGCGTGGGCGGCGGGGCCGCGTAGGTGAGGGCGGCGAGGCCGCGTAGGTGAAGGCGGCGGGGCCGCTCAGGTGAAGGCGGCGGGGCCGCGTTGGTGAGGGCGGCGGGGCCGCGTAGGAGAGGGCGGCGAGGTCGCACAGCTCAGGGCGGCGAGGCCGCAATAGGAGGGCGGCGGGGCCGCAAGAGCAGAGCGACGGAGCCGCGATGTAAGGGCGGCGGGGCCGCGACCGCAGGGCGACGGGGCCGCGATCAAAGGGCGGCGGGGCCGCGATGTAAGGGCGGCGGGGCCGCGACGTAAGGGCGGCGGGGCCGCGAGAGCAGGGGCGGCGGGGCCGCGATGTAAGGGCGGCGGGGCCGCGACGTAAGGGTGGCGGGGCCGCGACAGCAGGGCGACGGGGCCGCGAGGTATGGGCGGCGGGGCCGCGAGAGCAGGGGCGGCGGGGCCGCGATCAAAGGGCGGCGGGGCCGCGAGAGCAGGGGCGGCGGGGCCGCGATCGTAGGGTCGGCCGCTAGGGCGGCTCGGTAAGAGAATGGCCCGAGGCGCGACTCGGGATGAGTGCGCTTCGGGCAGGAAAAAAAAATCGAGTGGTGGGCCCTAGGCGCAGTTCCCACAGGGGAACCTGCTCGATACCATGAGAAGAATAGAACAAGAATGAATGAACTATGAATGAAGTGAGTACATATAGGAAACCCTAATTGGGTTGTACCCCCTATGGGATACCCCACTATAGCCTACACAACAGCATAAGCTATATAACGTTCTGACAGCTCAACCAAGGGGAGTGGGTCTACTTGAGACACACTTGAAGGTGCAGGACCCTGAGGGGGGAGGGGGTCTACCAGAGGGGGACCTGGAGCAAGGAAGAATGGCGGGGGAGGGGGAGGGGCAGTGCGGTAGGGGAAGAGACGGTAAAAGGGAACCGACTCGTCAAACGTGACGTCCTGAAAGAACAGAACACGGCGCGTGGTGGGGTGGTAAAACTGCCAACCAGGCGCGTCAAGGGAAAACCAAGGAAGACACAGGGAACGGCACGAGCGGAGAGCTGATCCACGTAAGTATCGCGGATAAAGGCATGAAATCCCCAGACCCGGAAAACTGACGCATCGCCAACCTCTCCTGTCCAACGTAGTGTCGGCGAGGTCTCCGGCAAGGAGACACAGGGCCAGGAGTTCAGTTGATGGTGGGCCCGGAAAAAAAGGACGGTCATACGGACCTACTGCTCTGATACCATGTTGAAATCTACGGTATTAGGGTACTTTTCGCTGTGGACACATGTCCCAATCGATGTGTCCCAATCGAGTGTACCGCTCCGAACCGAACTAAATCAGAGACGCAAAAATTTCGAAACTAGGGTGCAATTCGGTGTAATACGATGCAGTGCGGTAGAAACGATTGGGACACATCGATTGGGACATGTGTCCACAGCGGAATGTACCTTTAGGCTGGAATGATTTCACTAGTCTGGAAAGAAAGTACAAGTACCAAACCCTAAAAGTGTTGTATTTATATGTGCTACCCCACTACAACCTACATACATGTAAATCAGTTTTGACAGTGCTCGGTTCGGAAGGGCAGATTTTGGCGCGCAAGGGAGGAAAGAAGGCTGATAAGCAGACTAACAGACAACAACAGCAATGGAACATTGCATTCTCTACCATCTGGCAGTTACCACAGACAAACCACCGTCCTCCATAGAAACCACAGCGGAGACGGCCTGGTCACCTCTCATGCACAGTCATGACTTTTTTATCATGTACACTTGCTGTCTCGGTGTAGTATATCAATCACCTTTATTAAATAAAAAGTTTGGCGTATGTGCCTATGATAGGTGCTGCGTATATACAGTACCTGTGTGCTGACGGTAAGTTCGTTAGGTTCAAGACGCACCCCTGTATTTCTATCTTTCTACACCCTTTAGGGGGCACTTATAGACAAATTGAAATTCAGAGTGTACGGTAGTACCGTCATCGCCCGGATATAAGACAGTGTTGAATAGTAGACAGGGGTTGTCTACTATACGGGTGTCTCTTATAAACAAACTAGCCTTTTTATACGACACCTATTTGTGTGTACGAGTTAAGACATATATGTCTTATAATCAGAACTAGGGTTTAGGGGTTTTCTTATAAACAGGGGGTGTCTTCTTAGCTAGCTTTCCTACTTTAGGGGGGTACATGCATACAGTCAGGAATCTCTACTTCTACCTAACCCCCCTCAGTCACCGCCTCCTCACCTGCACTAACATCAGGCTCTACACCCAGGTCTGGCACTCGCCAGGCATGCCTAGCCGTCTCCCTAGGCTCGATCATGCGGTCAGCCTCGGCCGCCGCTCCGCGGTAGTTGGGGGTCTCCTGGTACAGCACCTCCAGGCCGGTTGCCACGGCCACCTCCCGCACACCCTCCGCCTGCATCGCCTCCTCCTCCTCCTCCTCCTCTGGAGCCCGACCGAGCAGGCGCGTGTTGTCGCCTGTGGTCCCCCCGAGAGACATGTCCGCGGAGACATCGGTGGTGCTCCTGGCGCGCAGGTGAGACATCACCAGGTGGTTCTCTGTTCCGTCCAGCTTGCTCGAGATCCCACAGTGGCGGAACGCGTCGATGATGATCTGCTTGGGGACTTGATCCCAAGCCTCCGTGATCCACTGCAGCACCACGGGGTGCGGAGGCCTCCGCAGGTTCCGTGCGGGTGGGACAGAGGACGGGGCAGCGAGATGTAAGAGACATGGATATGAAGGAGCATGTTTAAGACAAGGACACGAAACAGAACATGAATAAAACCGTAAATGAAGGACCAACTCACCCTTCTTCGTCTTCAGGTGAATCCCTTCACGCATGAACCACCTGGCGTAGCGCGCTCGCACAGCAGCCTTGAAGCACCGGTTGATGGAGACGTCCATGGGTTGAATCTGGCTCGTACAACCCGCTGGGATGACTGCAGGGGTGATGCTGTGCGTGCGGTACGACTGAAGCATGGTCTGGGTGATGTGACCGCGGTAGGAGTCCAACACCAGCATCGCCCGCCTTGCGTTCTGGCCGCGCTGGGGGTTCAGATGGGGCAGCACCTCCTTGGACAGCCAGGTCTGCACAGCGGTCTCGTCCATCCACCCGTTGTCCTGTGCTTGGACCACGATTCCTGCCAGGCACACAAGGGACAGACGGGCATAAGCACAGTGGGGCACGCTCATCAGGCAGTCGCACGGTTGAATTCATGCTCGCTTACCTTCCAGAATCTCACAGTTGGGGACGTTCTTCATCTTGAACCACACCCACGGCCGCAACTTCTCCCCGGATGCAGTGCACGCGAGCATCACCGTCAAGCGCGTCTTCTGGTAGCCTGCAGTGCGGATTGGAACCGAGCGCGCGCCTTGGTGCTCGATCGTCCGTTCGGCTGGCATCTCCACGAATAGTGGAGTCTGGTCCGCGTTGATGATGCGGGCCAGGTCGATTTTGTGCCGCGCCCTGTTGATGCGCACAAACTTCCAGAAGGACTCGCAGTCCTTCGCGCACTCTGCAAACGGGACAAGCGCAACGAAAGCACGGGATGGTTAGACACTGGGTGAGGTACATGCATTCAATAGAGCGCCAGACGAAATCCTTCAACACGCACCTGCCGACAGACGTTGGCCGACCTTGGTCTTCACCCGCATCACCAGGTTCCAGCGGTCACGGAAACGCTGGCTCCAGTGAGAGCTCGCGTTCCAGTTCTTGCCGGGGTAATGCTTCTTCATCCACTCGCGGCTCCACTTCTGGGTGTCCTTCACCGAGATGGCCACCCCGTTAGCGCGCTGAAGGCAAATGTAGCGGTACAACGCTGCCTCCATGTCGGGGTAGTGTGAGTGGCGCCCCCCCCCCGTGCATCCGCTTGCGGCAGTTGGCCGCGCCCTTGTAGACGCCCGCTTCCGCCTCCGCACACCAGCGTCTGATGCAGGCGATGGACGCGGTTGACTCCACGCTCGTCTTCTTCAAGGAGCCGAGCTCCTGATAGCGGCGCGCCCACTTAAGCTTCTCACGCACGGTCCAACTGCGGCGCTTCTTCGTAGTGTCTTTGCTGCGAGGGGAATGTGGGCGGGTGTTGGGATTATGGAGGGTGGGGTCCCTCGGCGTTACCTTCTCAGGGAACGTGGGAATCGGGCCCGCCGCCGCCGCGTACTCATCGTCGCTGCCGAGCGGCTCGTTCACGACGATGTCGTCAGGATTCGGCACCTTCTTCGCCTTCTTCTTAGCCGCACCCTTGCTGGATCCCGGGTCTCCGTCGGATGTCAGCTTCTTGTTGCTTGTGCGGCGACGAGCAGGGGCTTTAGCAGGGGCCTTAGCAGGGGCTTCCGCGACCTTGGCTTTCCCCTTCTCCGCAGCGGTGAGTATCGGGCGACGCTCCTCTCCCGGACCGTCGTCGTCAGAGAGCACCACGCGGGCCCGCTTTGACTTGGACTGTAGGCGATGGCGCAGCCTCCGCTTCAGTAGCGGGACGTCGTCGTCGGTCCCAAAGCTCCATGGGTCGTCGTCGCCGCCTTCCTCGCCTTCCGCATCCGCAACCGCGGCCGCATCCGCAGGCGCAAATGTCTCAAGTTCCGCCCCCGCCTCGTCGTCAGCCTCCTCATTCGCATCCACCGCCGCTTCCTGTGCATCCGCCGCTGCCTCCGCGTTGTTACCATGCGCATCTTTACCTCCGTCGTTGTCGGAATCACCAGCATGCCACTCTTCCACCTCGTCGTCGCTCCCGACCAGCCGATTCCACCAGTCGTCCTCCTCGATGTCAGCAGGACCTACATCGTCGCCTGAAGCGCTGTCGTCGTGGCCGTTCTCCGGCCAATCCTCCTCGGCGTCGTCGCCGTTCGCTTCGTCTCCGTCGTCCCCGTCACAGCTCGCACCGGAGGCGGCGGTAGGACTTGCCGCCTTGCTCGCGTTCTTCGCCATGGCTACACGGATGTCATCGCCGGGCGAGTTAATTCGCCCGTAGTTATTAACCTGCACGTGAGGACGAGGTGAGGACTTGCCTACTGGTACTTTGCTGCGCATGGTTAGAGAGCCTGCCGAGACCAAGGTTGAGACGAGTATTCAACCTCCTTGAGCACGAAATGAAGTGAGAGCCCGACTACCCCCCCCAGCCAGAGTGCCCCATCCACAGGTGCCGAGGCGCTCCTCTACGAGGCATCTCCTCGTAGAGGACAGCCCTCACGCTGCCAACGTGCTGCCAGCAGCGTTCTGGAAGCATCCATGCGCTCCTGGCAGCAAAACGACGCTGGCAGCATCATTAGATGCTGCCAGCACAGAGGAATGTTGCCAGCGGTGGCAGCTCCCTCACGTGGAAAGTGTGGGCGCTGCATGCATCACCACCGAGGTCGGCCTGTTTAAATGAAATTGGTCTTTGGGTGGTTTCTACACACTTTGCAAGTGTTATAGTCAACTTATTTTTTTTTCCATTTATAAGACTTATAAGACCCTAAACCATCCCGTTTACAAGATAACTCAAGCATTTTTGCCCGTGTACGAGATTAGACATATATGTCTTATATCCGGGCGATGACGGTAATCTCAACCAAGCTGTCATACTTAGCAACACCCAACCGTATGGTGCCTAGGTATTAATAGAATATGTTAGTACGAACTGATAAAAACAAATACTGCATAACATGTATACAGTGTCTGAATAATTTACCAGCTCATCGGTACCTGTTATAGCCGGCTTATTACTGTACTACCGATAAATGCATCTCATACCTACAAAAGCACAAGCGCATTCACGAGCCATCAAGAACAAGGCCATGCAAGCTTACTTGGGCCCCATCGGCCATGACCAACGCCAGTGGCAAGTGGCCTGTGTGGGGTGGTCCGTGGCAAGTGCAGTGACTCATGGCTTGAGGTCCATGGCCTGCAGTGCGTCACTCCAGCACCAGGTGCTGTAGCATGTGCTCTATTTCCGGCCGCTGCGCCACCCACGCGCCAAACGACTCCCCACTGCCCCCTGCTCCTCCCTTGCCCCCCCCTGCCTCCACCACTGCCTTGCCCTTGCTGCTGACAGCACCGCTGGCAGATGCCCTGGAGAAGAGGTAGGAACGGTAGACTATGAGGTAACAGTAGCGCCTGCACCCAAAGGACGCGGGATAAGGAAGAGAGGAGGGGAGGTGGAATTCACGGAGGTGGAATTCACAAAAAACGTGTCAGTAGATGTAAATATACGTAGACATGTCTGGAAATCATGGTCAAGGAGTAGAATAATTGAGAGAACGCATACGAGAGGCTCCATAAGTGAAGGGTAGCAAAAGGGATAGACAACATAGACAGCTAGCGCAAAGCACGAAACTGGCATAGCTGCGTCATTGTGTGGAATCACAAAGTTGGGAAGCAGAACATACCCATACAGCTAGCAAAACATATCCGTACAGATAGCATACCGCAACAAGTATTGACAACAGCAAGCAGGGCCTTGCCTCACCTGAGCGCCTTGCCTCACCTGAGCGCCTTGAGGCCCATGTCAGTGAGTGCCGCCCGCCTGTCGCGATCCACCGTGTTGTCCCCCTGCACCGCCTCCACCGCCCTCCTGTACTCCCCCGCGTCCTCCACTATCCGCCCCACCGCCAGCAGCCTGCATTGGGGGGGGATGCAGGGTGAGAGGGGGAACAGATGGTGGTGGGGTGGGGAGCACACACGGTGGAGGGGAGAACACACAGTGGTAAAGGGGGGGGAAGAAGACATGGTGGAAGGAAAGCACACATGGGCAGGCACAGCGTGCACATGGGCAGGCACAGCGCGCACATGCGAAAAGGACTGTCAGTGGCACCGTGCTACCCTCTCGACCGTGGACTCCTCATCCTCCTGTTGCCTCACGCACATTCAAGACATGCTGCTATTGTTCTCGCCTTTCCAATCAGCCGAACCCTGTACAACAGCCTAGTGATTCTCATCACCTCCAAAGTGTTCCCACCTATGTGCCGCCCACCTGTGTACTGCCCACCTGTGCGCTGCCCACCTGTGCGCCGCCCACCTGTGTGCTGCCCACCTGTGTGCTGCCCACCTGTGTGCTGCCCACCTGTGTGCTGCCCACCTGTGTGCTGCTCACCTGTGAGCGACGGCATCCACAAGTCGCTTGCAGTGCGGCCCCTTCACCAGCACCCGCTCCAGCTGCAGCACGTTTCGATACTCCCCCTTCCCCCCCCCACCGCCGCCAGCCTTGGGGACCGGAATGGATGAAGTAGCAGCAGGCTTGGCGAGGGTGGTGGGTGATGTGGCAGCAGCGGTGGGTGATGAGGGGGCGGCAGAGGGGGCGTGGGGAGCAGGCGAGGGGAGAGTGGTGGCCTGCAGGTGCAGGCACGTGAGGGCCATGGCGTATGCAATCGCGCCGTAGCCCGTGTGCGACACAAACAGGAACTTCACGTTGGGGCCTCGGCTGGTGGGGTGCAGGGTGGTGGGGTGCAGAGCGGTGGGGTGCATGGTGGCGGGGTGCGGGGTGGTGGGGTGCAGAGCGGTGGGGTGCATGGTGGCGGGGTGCAGGGTGGTGGGGTGCAGTGTGGTGGGGTGCAGTGTGGTGGGGTGCAGGGTGGTGGACCGCGTGAGGTGGGTGGGATGCGGGCCGGTGAGATGAGGGTGACAGGGAGTTGTGGGGAACAGTGTGGGGAGCAGGGAGGGGTCGAGAAAGGAATGAAGGAGGCGACTTAGTTGTGAAGGTGTGCAAGGTGCACGGAGAGTGCGAGTGATGGATGGAGCTAATGTTGCTTTTTCTGCACTACAAACTGTCCAACCTTCAAGAGCTCTCACGACTTGGCATTGCAGCATAGGCGTGCTTGTCTCACCTCAACAGGGTGCTGCGAGACGAAACACGACACATTCTCTCCTTGTCAGTTAGGCGTGGACACGGAGTATGGGCCCCCTATCGATTAGGTGTGGGCAAGGGAGATGGCAGGATGGGCTTACCGTTGAATGTAGAGCTGCAGCGCATCGACATCGGAGGCCACGGGGACTCTCTCCCGCGTGAGGGGGATGCGCCGGTAGTCCACGAGGTACCCTTGCTGCTCCCTCAGCTCGCCGTACACCTGTGCTGGCGTCTTCACGTCATCCGGCCCCACCGCACGCCACACGCCGATGATCTCCGTGGGGCCCACCGGCACAGCGGCACCTGATGCAGGCGGGTCAGCAGCTGTGCTGCCTGCCGTGTGCTGTGCACCAGTGCTGTCATCTGCAGCAGCAGAAGGCAAAGCAGCAACAGCGCCATCTGCAGCGCCATCTGCAGCAGTGGCACCACTGACCGTGACACCAGCAGCAACGGCAGGAGCAGAGCCACTCTCCACACCGCCACTTCCCCCAGCAGCAGAAGCAGTTCCATCAACCGCATTCTCACTGCCACCCGCGTCCACACCCTTGCTCCCGCCCTGCAGCACGTGCCCCTCTCTGGGCCTCTCTTTGTGCAGCAGCACCATGCCGCCGCACCGAGCAGCCTCCTGCAGGATGTCTGCCTTGAGCCGCTCCTCCATGGCCACCACAGCACCACCGGCGATGCCCACGTGCTTGAGGGCAGCAGCGGGCTGGTCACCGTCGCGCAGCACAAAGGGCTTGCCATGCACGTACACCACCGCCTCCTCGCGCAGGTCCACTATCACCACCTCCGCTTCCCCCCTCGGCCCCCCCTTTCCATCCACCTCCGCCCCTTCCCTCTTTTCCGCCTTCCCATCCGCCTCCCCTCCCCCTTCCCCCTCCCCATTTGCATCCCGCTCCCCGCTCCCCCTCCCAGTCTCGCCCTCGCCACCAGCGGTGCCGTCGGCTGGTGTTGTGGAGGGTGGTGGCTTGGGCTGTGGCACGGCGCCCAGGTGGGCGAGCACGGCCTGTGCGCCCTGAACCGTGGGTGTTGCCATGCTGTGCACTGGATACCCTGGGGCCTGGCGGGATGTTGGGGGACGGAGGTGGGTGAAAGGGGGGGGGGGGGGGGGGGGAGGGGAGACCCAGGGAGCGGCGAAGAGGATGTTGGGATGAGAGGAGGCAGAAGAAACGCCATGTGCTGTGGGGTGGGCATGCCCATGCTGTGTGTGAGTTGGCAGGGACAGGGGGTTGGTGAGGGCGAGAGGAGCCGAGGAGAGAGGGGAGTGAGGGCTGTAACAGAGAGACGAAAGGCGGGCGCCCCTGGTGGGTGTGCCTGGTAGGTGGTCAGATGCATAGTGAACGAGCAACAGAACAAGGCCAGGAAGACACTGGGGAGAACGCAAGAGGGACAGCAGAGGGCGAGGGGCGGAGGGGAGGGAGTGGGAGCGGACCTCGAAGTAGTTGGGGACGTGGGGGATCTGGATGGAGTAGTTGAGCGCGGACGGCTGCAGCCCGGGGAAGAGAGAGAGCTTCAGGATGGACCCGCGCCCCAGCACTGCCCCTCGCCGCGCCCGCAACACTGCATCCTCCGCCTCCCTCTCCTCCCCCGCCCCCGCTGCCCCGCTGGCGCTCGCATCGCTGTCTCGCAGCCGCACGCCCACCTCCTGAGCGGGTACAGAGGGAGGGGGAGTTAGTGAGGGGATCAAAACATGAGAGAGAGGGAGGCTGTGATGCATGAAGATAGCAAAACGAATGGTTGGAATGAGATACAATGTGGCAATACAGAATGTGACAGGTTGGGATGCGATTGTAGTGGGTGAAATGGAGTGGCATGGGATTACACCACATGGGCCACAAATGGTATGGCATAGCAGACAACACGCCCCGTCTGAGGGTGAGGCAGGGCAGCCCACCGGAATGGTGAAGAGGCGGGCAGGGCGCAAGCGCAGGCCCCACTTCATCTGCCGGATCTCCGGCCGCCGCTTCAGCCACGCCTTGAAGCTCACCGCCTCCACTTCCCCCTCTCCTTCTCCATTAACCTTGGCCTGCTTTGGCTCACTCCGCCCCCCACCTTGCTCTTCTGCTCTCTCTTTCTCTGCACCATCCTCCCCTGCATCTGAGCGTGCAGCCTCACCAGTGGCAGCGGTGAGAGAGGAGCTGGTGGCAGCAGGCAGCGAGGGGCAGAGGCGGGGCAGGGCGGTGTGTGAGGAGGAGGGGGGGATGGAGGGCAGAGAGGAAGAGGAGGAGGAGGAGGAGCGCGGCCAGAGGGAGGGGGCGGCGGGGCGGAAGAGAGGCGAGGAGAGGTAGGAGGCGAAGGCGATGAGCATGACGTAGCGCTCCAGGAACTCCGCACCGCGGCTCAGAGCACTCTGCCTCGTGCGCGCATCCGCGTCCTGCCAGTGCGGGTGGGGGCGCAAGGGCGGGTGTGAGCAATGTAATCGCAGGAGGTGGTGCAGGATGCAGAGACGCATTGCCAAGGCATGCAAGCAGTCGGCCAGCGTGCAGCATCGGTCACCCAGCATCACGTCCCCACCGCACCCTCACCTGCATGTTGAAGGCGCGGCGGTAGCTGAGGATGGCTTCACGGATGTTGAGCATCTGCGCGCAGCGGTCCACCACGCCATCCAGCACGTGCCGCGCAGCAGCGCCGCCATCCAGCATGCGGGTTACCTTGCGCACCACGGGGATATCCTCCAGCTCAAACTCGTCCACCCATGTCTTCTGCGCCTTGCCCCGCCCCCTTCCCCCACCCCTGCCCTCGCCCTCGCCCTCATGCGTTCTCCCTCCGCCCCCCTCTCTCCCGTTGCCTGAACCCGATCTCCTCCGCTCGACAATCTTCCCTCCCTCGCCCGCTCCAGCATCCCCTGTGGCCCGCCGTTTCCGCTGGCCGCTGGAGCACTTGCGGAGGCTGGAGGGTGTGTGGTGGACCGCAGGGCCATCCTCCTGCCGCCAGCCGCTGTGTGGCTCCGACGCCTTGAGCCCTTGCAAGTCAGGGTTCATGGCACCACTACTGTCACCCTCGTTAGCATCACGGCTGATAGCAGCGTTTTCATCATTGCTGCCACCGCCACTGATACTGTCGTGACTATTCTGACCACCGCTGCTGCTGCTGCTGCCAGGCCCCCTCTCACTGCCGCTGCTGCTGCTGCTCCGGGGGCTGCAGCGCGGGGGAGAAGGTTGGCTGGTGCAGGGGTGGAGTTGCGAGGGCAGGGCGAGGGATGGGGGCAGCGAGGGCAGACGCAGAGGGCGGCCGTAGAGGCAGCGGAGGAGAACGAGAGAAGCAATGACCGTGCCTGTGGTGGTGCGACCACGACCCATCTGAGGGCATGGGGGCAGAAGAAGTGGGGGGGTGGCGGGGAGAGGGAGTAACATGAGGTTAGGGGACGATGGGGGCGAGGGGGAAAAGGGGAAAGAGGTGCGGGCAGAGGACAGAAGTGGCAAAAGATGGCCCAAGCGAGGCGGTAGCAACAAGGACGAGGACATGGGGAGCAGAGGGAGAGGAACACGAGAAAGGACCACTGCAGGAGGGGTGGAAGGTAGGTAAGGTTGACTAGTAAGGTTGAGTGGAGGATGGAAGCAAACCGACACTCCACTGCCATCCAACAGCAGCAACAGGACCAGGAGGAGACAAGGTTGCACTTGCAGCTTGAGCAGGGACACATCATGGCACCTGGCAGTTGAAGACGAAGGCAGCGTGGGGGCCAGCACTGCTGATGGTGGTGGCCAGGGCGTCAAAGTCTCGACTCTTGGGCGGCTGCCCGTCCGTGGTGGGCAGGCGGTGGTAGTCCACTCTGAAGCCCTCTCGCTGCCAGGGGTGCGGTGGAGGTAGGGGTAGGGGTAGGGGGGTGTGGGGAAGACAGGGGGGAGACCAAGGGCGTGGGGACAGGGGGAAGACAGAGGGCGTGGAGACAGGGGGAAGACAGAGGGCGTGGAGACAGGGGGAAGACAGAGGGCGTGGAGACAGGGGGAAGACAGAGAGGACGTCGGAGTGAGTGAAGCAGGCAGAGCGAGCAGAAAGCAATGTGCGGACCACAGCAGTGGCGAGGCAAAGGAGTTTGCACACCAGCCAGACACAACACGTGTATTGGCAGCACAATAAGAAAACACCCACTCAATCAGATGGTGAGAGGAGAGACCCTTCAATGGCAGCAAAGACAGCAGCAGGCAAGAGGGGGAGGGGGGCGCGGGCACGCAGGTGGGGGGGCGGGACGGGAGGAAAGCAGGCAGACAGCCAAATTGCCACGCACCTGCAACATACGAAAGACCTCCAAAGGGGTCTGCACACAGGCACCATGCGCGCCATGAGCGGCAGCGGGCACGGGTTCAAGCGCGTGGAAGAGCTCCCCGGCGTCGCTCTCATGGTCCACCACCACAATGCCCCCGCTGCGCTGCGCCTCCCTCTCCACATCGCCCTTCAACCGAGCCTCCATGCGCTCCACGCGCTGCCGGTCTATGCCCTGCGCATGCAGCACACAGCAATACACACACATGCAAGCATGCATGAGGGTTGACACAGTGTGCTGTGAAGTCAAGTAGAGGCATGAACTTGGGTGGGAATCACTCCTCCCTGATGCTCCTCACATGGATAAACATACACTGGTGGCTCTCAATCTGCCCTCTACCCATGCAATACTCCGTGCGTGTAGAATCGCCTCATCACACAACACTCTCCATCTGCCCGCTTCCTTGCATGGCTCACAGTACATCCTCAACCCATGTCTCACCGTACCCAATTACAATGTTGGCACACTTAATTCCAACCAGGGAGGTGGTGACTCGCCTTGAGCACAGTGGTGAAACCAAGCCGAAACCAGGAGTACTGGGTTCATGCCAATGCGGCTGTTTATCAATTTAGACCCAATGCACAGGAGCTGCCAACATATTTTGAAACACACCGTATCTCACAGCATGCAGTATGCGCTACCAAGTCCATTCACACGTCTCACCGTGTACTCAAGCATGTTCTTGAACGGCCTCTCAGCCTCGCGCAGCACGAACGGCTTGCCATTCACGTACACCGTCGCCTCCTCCCGCATGTTGTGCCACACCACCCGCCGCTCCACGCCCTCCGCGCCCCCGCTCCCCTTGCCTGCCGCGTGCGCCACGCGCCGCAGCACAGCACGGATGCCGTCAATGGTGGGGTTGGCAACGCCGAAGACGGGCAGGCCGTGCACCTGGCGGAAGTTGGGCGCGCCCTCCAGCAGTTCCGGCAGGGAGAGGTTCTGACAGCCGGGGCAGTGGTCCGACTTGAGCACCGTCTGGGTGGCGTGAAGGGAGTGGGAAGGGCGGAGAGGGAGGGAGGGAGAGAGAGAGAGAGAGAGAGAGAGAGAGGGTGAGGAAAGGGGGGAAAGAGGGGACAGGGGAAGCAGGTGAATGTGGGAAGGGCAGGAGAGGGGCGGAGGGGGGAAAGGAAGGGAATGGTGAGTGCATGTGCATTTTACAACCTTTATGGAGGAAAAGGGAAACGAGTAGATTGGAGCAAAGACAGTAGCAGAACTGCGAATGTAACGTTGACACTGACGCATAGCCAGATGCACCTGCTTGCTGAGCATGGCCCCTGAGCGCGCCTCCACAATGGCAGCCGCCATCTCCGCCATGCGAAACGCCTCCCCTGCCACGTCCCCCGCCTCCACCTCCGCCCCCTCCACTTCCATTCCCTCTCCCTGCCCCGCTGCTGCCACTGCTGGCAGTGAAGCCGCGCCAGTGGGAGCAGGTGCGTGGAGAGCAGCGACGGCAGTGGTAGCATCACGAGTGGGTGAGGAAGAGACCGCATGAGGTAGGGAGAAGGAGAGGCCTCGCGGCATGCTGGCCTGCTTTGGATGCGCATACCCCAGTGCTCCCATGGGGTCTCTCCGTAACAGCCTGCCATGGAGAGGGGAGTAGAGGAGATGGTGCAGATGATGTTGGTGGTACAGACGAACATGCACAGCATGGTGTTGAGTCAAAGTACGCACGTCAAATCTGTTCTTGATCAACCGAAACTCTAGAGTCTACGACGCGTAACATCTACACCACGAGAAGTGCCACCACCAGTTTCCAGCAGCTTGAGGTGGTGCAGGGAGCGAGGGCGTACCTGCGGAGAATGCTGTAGAGCTCCGGCCGTGCCTTCATCCAGCGCTGGAAGCCGCCCTTGGCGTCCCTCAGCGCCTGCGTGGCTGCCAACCCGTCCAGCAGCGAGAACCGCTCCTTGGATGGCGTGTGGGGCTCCTGCGCCCTCACATGCGCGGAGTGGGTGTCATCCGCCTTGCTGTGTGACAGCGAGGGCGAGGGCAGGGCTTGGGAGGTAGTGATGGAGGAGGGAGTGGAGGCGGAGGGGGCGGTGAGGGAGTGCAGGAAGGCGGAGAAGCAGACGAGCATGTAGTAGCGCTCCAGGTACGCCACAAACAGGTTCAGTGCCGCCTGCCGCCTCTTCTCGTCCGAGTGCCGGTGAATGCGGTTGCGGTATCCCAAGATGGCCTCACGGAGGTTCTGAGGGGGATTTTGAAGAGAGCGTGGGAGCAGGGGTGGGATGAGTGAGTAGTGGCATTGGAAATGGAGACGCAGAGAGAAAAACGGGAGGGAATGAGTGGGAGAAACGTGCCTTTTCCTTCTGAAACAGGAATTGGACCAACATGATACATTGACAGAGCAGTACAGGAGGATCACCCCTGACCCCTTTTCACGCCACTCTCTCCCTTCCCAGGGCACAATGTCACCTGCCCACGCCAGTCGTGTCTCGCCCCTTGCCACGGCAGCACGTCACCTGCATGGAGGCGCAGTGGTCGATGGCGAGGTCGGTGAGTCGCTTGCTCTCACTGCCCGCCTCCAGCACGCGCGTGAGCGACCGGATCACCGCGTACTGCCCTGCCAGGAGCACGCGCTCCACCCCCGCCTGCACCTCCGCTGCCTCCGCCGCCGCCGCTGCCCCCTCTGCTCCGCCGTGCGCCTTGCCTGGGGTGGTGGTGCCCAGCATGAGCTTGGCAGCCCCGCCTGGTTCATGGCCCGCTGTGGACGCCGCCTTGGCCAGCATGCTGGCGCCCGCTGAGGGCGACAGGATGCCTGCATGCATGCATTCACTCCCACACACAAAAGCATGCATACATGCATACACCCACAGGCAGGCACGCACATACACAAACATGCACCATGCGAAATTCAGTCGCCAAAATCACATACATGGAGCTCGTATGCCAGCTGAGATAGCACTGCACCTAATTGGCATGTCTTGCTCAGGGGCCATGCGAACCAGCACAGTATCAAGGTGGTAACAGTGGGAACGAACAAGTGGGTGGCAGATATGACATATATAATGGAGCTGTTGCAAGATAAGTGGGAACACAAGAAGGGGACGGGGAGCCGCGTCGCATGGCAACTGACGAGTTTGACTGAAAGTCTAGACAGCACGAGCGTGCACAACCATGAACAGTGACAGGAGAGCATGGCATGGCAACTGACGGGAGGGCACGGCATGGCATGGCAACTGACGGGAGGGGAAGCGGCGAGCGAGGCAGATGAGGGTGGCGACGACAGTGCCAGTGGTGGTGCGGCCCCGCCCCATCTGGCAGTTGAAGATCTGTGCCGTCCCCTCGTCCACCCCACTCAGACTCTCCACCTGCCACGCGCACGGAGAGAGAACGGACCGGGAGGGGAGAGTGGAGGGACGTGGGAGGAGGCGGGAGGAGAGAGAGGGTGTGGGGAGGTATTGGGTGGAGGAGAGAGGAGGAAGTGCAGAGCGACAGGGATGGGGGGAGACAGGTGGGCAAGACGAGAGAGAGGTAGGCAGAAACAAAATGGATGACAAAGGAAACGACAAGATCTCGCTTACAAGATATTACATCCTCAGCAGAGGGCTGAAGGCTCACCAGCAGGTCAAAGTCGACCTCCTCAGGCACCTTCTCGTCTGTGACTGGCACGCGCTCATAGTCCACATTGTACCCCTGCCTCTGCAGATCCTCGTACACCTGCATTGCATGGCACCGTACACACACCCCCACGTGCACACACACACGGACAAACTCAGACGTCAAAACACAGTGCCAGAGCGAAGCGAGTCATGATGGCAAAGTGCAGTGCGAAAGCTGGCAGGTCCGTCAGCATGAGAAATTGACGAGAATAGGGGAAGGGAGGTGACCTCGAGAGGCGTCTGCACGGAGTCAGGGCCGACGGGCTCCCACTGGTCCACCATCTGGCCGTCAGGCAGCTCATCGCTCACCATGATCTTGTTGGAGTACCTGCATGCACACATGCACACATGCACGTGACCACACACACACATGCAGGCCCACGCACATGCGCACAAACGCACGCAAATGCACACAGACAAACAGGAGCATATGTGAGCCTCAGAAGGGGCCCATTGGTGCACCATCTTCCGCCAGGCCAGGCAGCTGCTCATTACTCGCCATCAGCTGTGCTGTGCATGGGGGAAAGTAGCACGGTTGCTGCATGGAGGCATGCTACCCCACCACGAATACCACAGCATGCAAAGCAAGAGAGCGTACACTCTACGTGTTGCTTCAGGCAGGGTGAACATCACGATGCATAGGTTACGGTAATATAGGCTCCTCACCAGCACAATTTCCTTCACCTACGAGTCTTATGCGACTGCATGGCGACCCCAACCTGACCCGTTGCTCACCTGCCTGCCTCCCGGAGCACATCCTTCTTCAGCCGAGCCTCCATCTGCTCCACTCTCGCCCGGTTGATGCCCTGCCATGCCAGCCACACGCACACAGTCAGCCCCAACAACAGTAGAGAATCAACGTGCCTTCCGCAGAAAAGGCTTGAACGGACTACATGAGATAGACGTGCGCCACACAAGAGAGCCGGCTGCTCTTCAAAACACAATGCAATTTCTGTTGTGCCTCACAGATTCTCTGTTTTGCCAAGGGGTTCCCATGTCACCTGCGCAGACTCACAGCCCTACAGCGCATTCCTTTCGATGTCACTGCCCCCCTGCGCATTCAGGGTTGTGGTGCTCACAGTGTACTCGAGGTTCGTAAACGGCCTCTCAACCTCGCGCAGCACGAAGGGGCGACCATTGATGTAGATGACCTGCCATGCCATGGCACGGAAGCACGCCACATTGAGTCAAAGCTACTCTGTAGTGTCAGTTCTACATTGAAAAGGGAAAGCTATCGTCACATGGCCAGTGCTGGCCTTGATGTAAGCGGTAACCTGAGAACAGCAACCCTACCTTGAAAAGGTCAATGAGATTCTGAAATGGACAACTCTATTGTGAAATAGAGAGAACGGAACTAAATGAAGCTTTAATCCCGCCAACGCCATTCTAAAAAGGTCAGGGCGCTCCAAAAAAGGTGAATGCGCTCCTTAAAAAAAAAAAAAAAGTTATTTTAAAAAAGACTATTTCTGAGAAAGAAAAACTAAAACCCGCTGTTCTGGTATTGTCAATCTTATCCTGCATCCGCTATGCTAATCTGGGAAACAGTCATGCTGTACTGGGAGCTGGAAAATGATATCTCAGAACTGTTGATGCTATACTAAAAAACTGCTCTTCGTATCCTGAAACTGCGGTGGCTACCACGGGTGTCAATCTACTCGAGCGACGCTCAAGCGAGGAATTACTGGTTCTTCGCGCATGCTGTGCCAGAGGACGTGCCGTCCGCCATTGCGCGAAGCTCCTACTATCTGCAGCACGTTGCGAATTCCCTCTACCGTCGGAATGGCCACGCCGTACACCGGAAGGTCCGCAATCTACGGAGGAAAGAAGAGAGAAATACAAGGACGAGTATAGATTAATCGATCAAGCTGATGAAGAATAAAACGCTACCTAAAGAGTCACCAAGAAAGCCGCGAGGCAACGAGGCGCGCTCGGATAACCGCATGCCGAGTTTCATAGGACGATGCGAAAGTCGAACCTGGCGGAAGTTGGGAGCTCCGTCGATGTGAGGCAAAAGGCGTTTGTTCTGACATCCAGGGAAGTGGTCGCTCTTTAAGATGGTCTTCTTTCCCAGCACCGCTCCATTCCGCGAAATGATGACATCCTCCGGCGCGCGCGAAAGATAAACGTCGTTCGACTGATCGAAGTCGTCAACTATCATGACCTAAAAACGCTTCGCTTCGCACCTACGAACACGACGTCGATTTCTCTGAACAGCGGAAGGTGGATTGTGATAGAGAGTTGATACGCTAAGACGAGCGAGAGAAGCTAAGGTAAATCGACGATTAGTGGTAATGTAAGAAACGGTTTGCGGCTTGAGTTGAGAAAGTAGAACGAGGAAAGTGGAAATCGAGGGCAGCGCAAATGGTGATGGCAGAAAGTGCGGCCAATATCATAGATACTCAAAGTATTCCCGAGCGGGTTCTCAGGTGTAATCACCAACAGAAACACAGTTTCGCGATATAGTAGTAAGTGTTTCTTGTTGTTTTCTGAATACAGTCACTACAGAAATTGCAGCACCTGAAAAAAAAAACTTGTAGCGAACCTAGATGAATTTCGAGACAGATCAACCCTAACTCGGGAAGCCGCCCACTTCAGGAGAAATATATTGCACTTTCTTGACCCAAAAAATAACACTTAATCGGAATGGGATGCGACTCGGGAGGCATCAACCCTAAAAACAATGCCCTTTCCCGTGTTTAGGGTTGATCCCTCCCGAAAATTCGTCCAGATTCTATAGGGGTTTAGTTTGTCTGCCCCGTCGTAAATTTACGTATTTTAATTTAACAAATCCAGGTCGGGAGGGTAAACTATATAGTTTTGTTTTTGTCGCTTCTTAAAGATTTCGACCAGCGTAAAAAATGTGACTAAACAGCGAAGACCAATCAAAGTTGAGAATGTCCAGGTTGATTACACCTGAGAACGCGCTCAGGAAAAATCTGAGTATCGGAGATAATGGCCGAAGCAGAAGCATCGAAGGCAGAGATGCCGCTCCCAGCCTGCTCGCACTACACGTGACGAATCAGCCTGCCAGGCATGACACGACATTCCCCCAATCAAACCTGTCAGACAGCCCCTGATTGCAGTTCCCAAGGCCACCCGACCTCACCACCGAACCGACCACCGACGTGAGCCCTTGTGGTTTGTGATCTGAGGGCGAGGCACGTGGAATGAGGTTCTGGTTGCTGGTCTGGTTTGGCCCAATGGTGGCCCAACATTGCCTGCGGCATAGTCACTGGGGTGAGGGAACAATAGGTACTGTGACATCAGAATTTGACCCACATCGAAAGTTCATGTGTACACTAAAAAATACAACTACATATCAGTGGTCACCTTTAGGGTTTCAAGCTTGTTTTGCCTCTGGTCTGGTCTATCCGTGTTGTAATATTGCATGCACTACAGGCCAGGATGGAGGCAATTTACGTACATCAACTCGGCAGTACACTTCATTACCCTGCTTTTGACAGTCATTGGACAATGGTCAAACGATCCATCACCAAGCTGTCACTCTGGTCAGACCATGAGGCGATGATTGAGCATGCAGGTACCGAGTAAAACGGAGTCTGCATGGGAGCCTTCAATGAAGCATCAACCGCATTCTGGCAGACCGAACTGATGGGAGGTAGTCAATCCACCACCACTCTGTCACCCTACCCACATCGATCAGCAATGGCTCTTTCAGCTTTGGCAGCCAGCGCAGTGACCCGGGCAGAGAGTTCAGCTCCGGCAAATAGCACAGCTCCAGCGTTTCAAGTTCTTTTAGCTGCCCGAGTGACTCGGGCAGCACAGATAACTTATCCAAGTATTGGAGCTTCAGGATTCTGAGGTTTTCCAGCTGCCCGAGGGATTCTGGCAGGTTGGAGAGGCCGTGCATGTGGGTGAGGGTGAGGGAAGAAAGGGCAGAGAGCGTGGAGAAGGAATCAGGGAGCGAGGGGATTCGCGAGCATCTACAGAGTGACAGGCTGGTGAGGGACGCCAGGCCCCATGACTGCTGTGCGGTGGGCTGCTCTGTGCTGTGCTGTGCCCGTGCCCGTGCCCGTGCCCGTGCCTGTGCCTGTGCCTGTGCCTGTGCCTGTGCCTGTGCCTGTACCTGCGACTGTGGGTCACTGGACGTGTTGGCCTTACTGCAAACACTGGCTGTAGGAGCGACAGTGACAGTAGCAGGAGCAGGGTCAAGAATATGGGGAGGCGCAGGGTCAGGAGCAGGGGCAGCAGCAAGAGAAAGAGCAGAAGCAAGGGAGGAGGTCACACCCAATGGGGGAGCAAGCAATGGCTCTAGGGACTCGAGGCGAGAGCAGGAGGTGATTTCAAGCTCCTCCAGGCGCGTCAGCATGGCCAGCTGGGCAGGCAGCTGCCTCAGTCCACTGCAGTCGCGCAGGTAAAGCCCCTCCAGGCTGTGTCTCACACTCCCCGTGCACAGTTCTTCGGGCAGCTGCAGCAGACCCAGCTGGCTGATTTCCAGCAATCTCAGTTGCTGTAGATCTCCCACGCTCTCAGGCAGATACTGAAGATTGGGCAGATTGCAAAGCTTTAGCGTTTCAAGCAGTACAAGGGCTCCGAGGTTTTCAGGAAGGGAGGCGATTACAGGGGATGAGAGGATGGAGAGGGAGGAGAGGGGGAGGGAGCAGATGGCGTCTGGCAGGCTCTGGATGGACTTGCAGCTGAGAGACAGCGACTTCAGTCGCACCATTGCCCCCACCACATGCTCCGGCACGCGCCTCACGCGCTTGGACTGTAGCGAGAAGGAACGAAGGCCGGTGAGCTGCTGAAAGGATTCCGGAATCAACTTTAACTTATCCATCTCGATTTTTAGGGTTTGCAAATGCGGTAAGTCACCAATGGAGGTGGGGAGGTGAGAGAGGGAGGGGTTGGAAAAGGTCAAGCTTCGGAGGTTCGTGAGGCTGCTGACGGAATCCGTGAGACCTCGGAACGGTGACCCGGTTTTAACGCAGATTTCCTGTAGCTGCTGAAGCGCGCCGATGCTTTCAGGCGGCGAAATTAGATGCTCAAATCGATCCACGCCGTAATACTCGTAGCAGCGGCAGAGATGGAGGGTTCTGAGGTCCGAGAGGAGCGTGACGGCGGGCGGGAGGTGCGGGAGGGAGTGGAGGGTGAGCAGGCGCAGGTCGCGAAGCTTGCGACAGCCATGGAAGAGAAACGAGAGGCCGTTGCACGTGACTTGCATGCGAAACTGGTAGTGTGCGGTCAGATGTGTCAAATGCGGACACGTGGCGCCCAGGCATTGGAAGAGAGCATCGCCGTTCGGATCTTGAACGCGACATTTCTGAAGCTCTAGGCGCGTGAGCGAGGAAAAGGTGCGAATCGTGTCTAAGAGAACGGGAAATCGGATCTTGGATTTGATAACGAGGTGCGCGAGCGAGAACCGTGCTGCGGCGTACCATCGCTTGGAGACAAGCGCGTAATGGAAGGAGTCCCGCGTCAGCGAGCGCAGCACGAGCGAGAGAAGGTAATCATCGGATAGAACCTTCTCAATAGTCGACAGAGGAGGGGAAGGGGCCAAGGCGGGGAAGAAGAAGGTCGGCAGAAACGACATGGTATCATTCGTAATCTTGCTACAATGAAATGATATTCTCGAGTGAAAAAATGCAGATTACGACAGGTTTCATGGGTTTCTAATGACGCAGAAGGCAGCATCGTAGTGGCCGCCAAGAAAGCATGAAAGTGCAGCAAAAGGCCGCCAGGTTGGAAGGGAGGGACGGAGTGACGGAGGGTTTGACCAGGACAGAGAAGGGAAGACTGGGAAGAAGTTGCGGGCGCAGGGTTGACGGGGCTAGTGCCGTGTGCCGTGTTGTTACATGCACTTGTCGCCATCAAGCATACTCTTAAAAGAGAGTGCGCGGAATAAAGAATAACGAGGCTGTGACTCAATGAACTCACAATACAATGAAGGCACGCGCTAATATAGTGACTACCCTAGCAAGGAGGGAACTTCGGGAAAACGAGGTTGGGTGCAGGTTATTGGAAACAAGTGTTGGAATAACCGAAAGGTTATTATAAGCATTCCAGAAGGCTCTCCACTCTCGCGTCACTTCATAACAAAGTACGGTATTCCTGTACTCCTATCTTATAATCATGTTATTCTTTCAAACCTTTATCAACAAGGTCATTACAGAGACTACACAATTCTCTCATATACTCAGCAGCTTTATCCTATCCTCATCATCATTGCTCCCGAACAACGCATCACCGCACCTGCTGTGGACAGGAAAGTTGGGCAGTACAAAAATGTTACGAGTGTTCGGCTGCATGGTACAGTACCGACCCCCAGCTGCACGAGCCGGACGATTTTTCCAACGCGCATAGTGGGGACTACACCTGGGCATTGAAAAACACTACAATGCGTGGAAGATTTTTTACGTCCACACGAAGGACACAGTGGCAGCACGTGATGTGTTCTTGTACGAATGTCTCACCCTTCAGACGTATCTAGACAACCTGGAAGCAGAAAGAGATGTCACGGGCGGATTTCGTGCGGGCCGAGCCTTCGCTTCGGCATCAGATGAAGCTGACCGGGATGAGCAAAACGTGAACGGAGCTTCGGAGGAAGCCGGACCTCTTCCCTATTGCTTGGTGGACATCCCCATCGACGACAACAACCCCCGCGAAAGTATCAACGCCGAAGTCTTCTACGACTTTGCCGACAACGGTTACGTTACACCCCAGCCAGTCGACACTAACGTTTTAGAACTCATAGGCCCAAATTTCTTACCTGATCCAGAAGCCGAAGACGAAGCATTCTATCCCGAGGACGCAACTCTCCCAAGTTACACACAGAGTGGGCTGCAGATACTGGGACTTGTCACCGCCGTCCACGGAGCACCACCACCTAAGGAGCCTGCCACAGTTCAGCAGGCTTTGGGGGGGGAGCACAGGGAAAAATGGCGCGAAGCCATGGACAGAGAGTTAAATGTGCTGAAAGAACGCAATACCTAGAAAGTCGTACCTATCAGAGTGGCACGCAACAAAACCATTCTCACGGGAAAATGGGTCTTCCGCGTGAAGACAAAAGCCGACGGAACTATTGACAAGTTCAAAGCACGATGGATCGTGCGTGGCTTCGACTAAGAGCACGGACGAGACTTCATCGAGACTTTCGCGCCAGTCAGTCGGCACACATCACTTCGAATCCTCCTCGCGATAGCCGCCATGAAGCGGAAGAAGCTCCGACAAATCGACGTTGCCAATGCTTTTCTCTACGCTCCCGTCGACGCTGAGATCTTCGTCGAGCAACCACACGGCTCTAACGCAGACCCCAACCAAGTCTGTCAATTGCTAAAGTCCTTGTACGACATTAAGCAAGCTCCGAGGCTGTGGAAGCAGTTCTACACGCTTGGCTAATTTGCATCGGATTCCGCCAATTGCCACACGACCAAGGAATGTACTGACTAACGAAGGGCGCCAAGTATCAAACTATATGTGCTGCATGTTGTGTAGGCTATAGTGGGGTAGCCCATATGGGGTATAACCCAATTAGGGTTTACTACTTGTACTCCTGTATGCTGCTAGTTCATACATTCCTCGTTCATTCTCCTGACATGGTATCAGAGCAGGCCTAGGACCGTTTTTTTTTTCAGGCCCACCATTACTTAGTGACCGACTGCGGTTATCGCGTTACCCCACGCCCTGCCCTGCGCGCGCCCTGCCGTGCCCTGCCTTGCGTCACACTGCCCGTGTACGCCCAGCCCTGCGTCGCGCTGCCCCGCGCACGCCCTGCCCTGCCCCACGTCATGCTGCCCCGCGCACGCCCTGCCCTGCGCCGCGTCGTGCTGCATTGCGCACGCCCTGCCCTGCCCCGTGTCGCGCTGCCTCGCGCATGCCCTGCCCTGCCCCGTGCCCTGCTGCCCTGCGCGTCGCGCCCTGCTGCAGCCCGAGCGTTGCGCTCAGCTGCCTCGCGCGTTACGCTCTACTGCAGCCCGCGCGTAGCGCCCTGCTTCCCTGCGCGTAGCACCCTACCGCCTGCCCATTAGGCCCGCCGTGGGCCCTCCCTTCGCGCCGCCGCGCCTGCCCGTTACGCTCGCTGCCGCGCCCGCCCGTTTGGCCCGCCACGGGCCTTGCCTTCGAGCCGCTGCGCCTACCCGTTCGGCCTGTCATAGGCCCACCCATTCGCCCCTCCCGCACTTGTCCGCTACGCCCGCCGTGCCTGCGTTTTGCGCCCGCTGCGGGCCTGCACTCGCTGCCCAGCGCCGCCCTGCCCGTGCACGTTGCTGCCCGCGCCAGCGCCCTGCCCTGCCAACGCGCCAGCGTCCTTCCCTGCTCGCGCTGGCGCCCTGCCCTGCCCTACCCGAGCCGCCTCTGCAGCGCCCTGTGCGCCCTGCTAAACCTAAAATAAATAAATAAATAAATAAATAAATAAATAAATAAATAAAAAATAAATAAATAAATAAATAAATAAATAAATAAATAAATAAATAAATAAATAAATAAATAAATTACTTAATTAAAAGAAAAAGAAGCCCTTGGTGCTGCTGCCCTAGGAGCTACTGCCTGCTCTGGCCGCACGCCGCCCTCCTCTGGCCGCGCGCCGCCCTGCTCTGGCCGCACGTCGCCCTGCTCTGGCCGCCCGCCGCCCTGCTCTGGCTGCGCTCAGCCCTGCTCTGGCCACGCGCCGCCCTGCTCTGGCCGCACGCCGCCCTCTTCTGGCCGCGCGCCGCCCTGCTCTGGTAGCGTGCAGCCCTGCTCTGGCCGCGCACCGCCCTTCCCTGAGCATGCACCACCCCGACCTAACCTAGTGCCTCCTCGCCCCCCTTCCTTCCCTACGTGCTGCCCTGCTAGTCGCATGACTTCTCTTCATGGCAGCGGTGGGAGTGGTGGCGACGGTGGCGGCAGCATTGGGAGTGGTGGCGGGCGTCGTAGCAGTCGCTGTGGAGTTGTTCGGTGGGGAGTTTCTGGCGGTGGCCAGATGCAGCTGCAGCGGCGTCCGCGTGAGACCCTTATACCCCAGCAGCTTCGTGAGTGGTTTGCTCAGCGTCGGGCGTCTCAGCGTAGTGGCCGTAGTGGCAGTCGTGGTGCAGCTACTCAGTTGGGAGTTTCTCGAGGTGGCCCAGTGCAGCTACAGCGGCGTCCACGTGAGACCCTTATGCCCCAATAGCTTCGTGAGTGGTTTGCTCAGCGTTGGGCGTCTCAGAGATGTGCTGAGGGTGACAGGTACCTGTGTGTGCCGCCCGACCCAGGTATAGAGGCTGCTGCTCTAGGTGCTAGTGAGTCTACTCTCTCTGGTACTGCGCCTGCTGCGGCCTTGCACACCTTCACGCTTGACTCAAGTGCTTCACGCTGTTTCTTTCTCGATAGTACCACAGTCACACCGCTATCACCAACTGTTGTTGTCGCTCTCGCTGACCCCTTTGGGGGCCCAGTCCTTGCACGTTCCTCCACTGTTCTGTCGTGTCCGGCCGTTCCGTCTGGCTCACTATCAGGTCTCCACCTCCCCTCGTTCTCTATGAACTTGGTGAGTAATGCCGTCCTTCAGGATGAGTGGGTTGATTCCTTCACCCCTAGAGGACAGCGTGTGGCGATCTGTACGTGCTCCCGGACTGGCAGGCATCTAGCCACATTCACCCGTCGGCCTGGGTTGAGTCTGTACACACTGAATACTGCGCCTCCTCAGGTAGCTGTGTCTGCGTCTGTGTCAGGTCAGCTTGCGCCCCCCTGCTCGTGTCGCGCCCTTTCCACAAGACGCTCCTTTGGAACCACCGCCTTGGTCACCCCTCCGTGGCACGACTCCGTGGCATGCACTCCCGCTACCTTGTCTCTGGTCTTCCCAGGTCTCTGCCTCCCCTCCCA